ATTTTTAAAATGAGGACATTCTCAGAGGTTTCAGCTATATTCTAATCATCTTATTAAAATAAAAATAAGCATCTTAACATTTTAATCCACTTTATTAGGCTATACCAATTAGAACATATTTTATTAAAAAATATTTAAACAATCTTTGCATTTATTTCTTCTAAACCCTAAGATCTATCAAAAGAAAATATTTTATCACCAAATTGTTTTTGTTAATGTTTAGAATATAGTAATTCTCAATATGAGTTCATGAGAAATAAAAGTTAAACAGCAAAGTCTAAAGTTCACTCTATAAGTAAGTCAAGCCTGAAACCCATGACTAAAATTAAAGTCATATAAAATATTTTTTTCTATTTTATTTCATGTGATTGGAATTTCTATTAAAAAATCAAATAATTGTCATTGGAACTCATAATAATGTAGTGTTATGCAAATACCAAAACCACAATCTATTTTATTTACTGAACAAAAGGATGTAACCTATTGCAGTACATGAAATTGGCTATAATAGAAATTAACTAGGGTGTGATAATCATGTAAAAAAAGAAATAGGAGTAATCCTGTTTTCTGAAACTTTTGCTTTAATAGTGTTTATGTTTGGACACATATGCTTGTGTCTACTTGGTCATGTTTTAAGATATATTTTTAATCTAAAATATGATAAACAAATGATACTACTTTTATGAAAGGGGGATTGTTTACTGAGTGAAATCTAGCAGTATGGACGTGGTTTCTATCTGCGCTCCCACTCCCCTGTCCTCACTGATTTTCTACTTGTCACAATGACACGGTTTCCAAGCCAGGTAAGCATGGATTCTTGAAAGAAAACAGTGGAATAAATTTAAAGTCAAAACCTGAAATTTGCTATTAATAGACAAGATCTTACCTGTTGGCAATCCTTTCCCTCTCAATCGGTCTCGAATGGCTTGGCTCCGATCAGGCTTTTGCTCAGTGTTAGGGGAAAGCTGATCCGTCTGTATGCAAGCAAGTGAAAGTAAAGTTTGAAAACAGAATTTCCCTTTTATTTTCATGGTAATTGTCTACAGAGTAACACTCGATATACAGTTCTGGAGGGGATCTCATTAAAGAGTTAGAGCCCATGTCCTTGTCTAAACTGATATTCCTTCAATAACACATAGCTTAGATTGGGCCAATTCAGCTTCTGGAAACAAAAAGGCAAGAAACTATTCCCCGAAAGTAATCTGCTAACTAGGGAACAAGTTACTCAAAGTGAAGCAGTTTAAAAATTAGTCCTATTTGAAAATAAGTTAACTTGAACTGTCCATACCCCACCCCACTCCAGCCCCAATGGAGAGCTACTTCCATCTCTCAAGTTGCTCTGGAATTTTTAAACCACATGGATTTTGTATCATAAAGCTTTGCTGCAGTTGTGGCTATGCATTGTGAAAACAGATTTAAACTATTTCCAAATTTGTTTTCAAAAACAATTTACTAGGTGTTGCCCATCAGAAGTTACATTTGAGAAATGCTGCGGTCTTAAACTAAATGAGGACACTGCAGCAGGACAATTAAATTCTAATCGATGCTCCTTGCAATACAAATGTTTATCTTAAATTTTAATAACGTTACCCAAAGGTGTAATAAAGGAAATTGTATCAAATCCTTCCATACTATAAGGTATGAGGAATTAGGAAACTGGGCTTAGAGTGACAGGTGAAGCTTTCTGAAGTAAATGACAGTTACAGGAAAGGCTTTGAGAAATAAATAGAAGGGTGAAAAGAAATTACTTAGATTTGGGACCAACAATGTGCACACACACACACACATTTTGAGAGTCCCTGATTATTATTAGGGTGAAGCTTGTTTGAGTATGTATTTAAAAACTTAAGTCTAAGTCAGCGTATTTGAAGTTCTAGCATATTGTTACCAGCTGATAAAACGAATCGGGTGGAAATATTTCTGCAACAATATTATCATTGAAACTGTACAATAAATGAAAAAAACATCCTGAATCTTTGGTATTGTCTGCATTATAGCTTCTATTAGCAATACTCAAAACTCATTGCCACTGAGTCAATTCTGACTCAGAGAAACCCTATAGGACAGTGTAGAACTGCCTCTGAGGGTTTCCAAGATTGTAACTCTTCGAAATGGAAGTAGAAAGCCCATCTTTCGCCCACAGAACAGCTGGTGGTTTAATCTATAACCTTGTAGTTAGCAGCCCAACACATAACCAGGACACCGGGGCTCCACCTATTATTAGCAATAGCTATTATTTATTGAGCAGGCAGTTACATGCCAAGCACTGTCTTCAGTGCTTTACAGATAAATCTTATTTAATTTTCTGAGCAGACTTATGTGGTCAAACTCACTACCCCTAAGTTGATTCTGACTCATAGTGACCGTATGGGCTTCTGAGATGGTAACTCTTTACGGAAGTAGAAAGAAAGGTTCATTTTTCTCCTGTGGAGCAGTTGGGGGTTTTAAACTTCTAACCTTTCATTTAGCAACCCAATGGATAATCCACTGTGCCATTTTATTCCCATAATACGGATCAAAGGTGCCCTGGGGGTTCTGTGGTTAAGTGCGTGGCTACTCTCAAAAAGCTGAGTGATTTGAACCCATCAGACAGACACTCCAAAAAAGTAAAATTTGGCCATCTGCCTCTGTAAAATAACAGTCACAGAAACTCAATGAGGCAGTTCTACTCAGTCCTCCAGGATGCCTCAAGGGCATAAGATTTGATTTGGGGATTTTGGTATTATAGATAAAATGAAAAATAGCAAGGAAATTCCTTCTAAGGACCTTCAAAGCAGCTCATCAGTACTGTAATAATTATCTTTACAACAGCTCACTAAAGTGAGTGAGTTTATTTTAAAGATATTTTAAAGATAATTGCAATCTGGTTTATCCGCATCTAAATGCTAATCAGTAGAAGAATGAGAACCAGTGACCTAGCTTACTGACTTTGACATGATGTAGAACCCACCAGGGCACCAGACTGATGAATATTGCCCAGTTCTGTCCTGCTTTTTCATACTGCATTTATCCAAGATTTTGACTAGAGTTCTCCTTTTCATCTAACCTTCAGAACCTAATTCAAAGTGCTATTTTTCAGTGCACTCAAACCACAAAAATCTTTTCCCCTCAAACCCTCACTGCTTTTCAATATTTACTATTACTATTAATTGCTGTGTTTGTATTTTAATGTAAGCAAATATCAGTTGGTGATCGATAAGTATTTGTTGTAAGAAACTGAACTAAACGCTACACTTTGAGCAGCGGGTCTCAATCTGTGGGTCGCGACCCTTTTGGGGGTTGCATGACCCTTTCACAGGAGTTGCCCAATTCATACAGTTAAAAAGTAGCAACGAAAATAATTTTAGGGGGGGGGGTCACCACAACATGAGGAACTATATTAGGAAGGCTGAGGACCACTGCCTTAGAGGAATGGAGATAATTTATTTAGCATAGGCAATTATTACACAGACAATAGCATTTTATAGAAGAATATGTCTTCATAGAGAGAGGAAAAACTACATTCAGCAATTTTACTATTGGGATAAAATCAATAAACAGCTCAGACAAGTTAGAAAGATATAATATAACAGAAAGATCCCTGGATAAATAGGAAATTTAAATTCTACAAATTGTTTGGGTCTCACTTTTTTTCATGTATAAGGTGCAGAAGTTAGTACACATGAACATTTCCCAAAGGGAGGTCTATAGAACAGTTGTACTATAATATCTATAAACGATCATAATCTCTGAGAATTAATAAATTTCAGAAATGTGTTATCTGTATACCTATCCTAATTAAAGATCAGTAATATGGACTGATTGAAAGGCTCTGACAAGCTCTGCAGTTGTAAAAATACTTAATTTTTCTCCAAGCTTATTTGATCATAGAGGAAATTTTAGCAAAATATATTTAAAAGTATATGAGAAACTAGTTAGGATAGAAGACTTCCATATTGTCAGTAGCATTACCTTTGTTTTTAAAAAATTATATGCAGAAATACAAACAAATAAACTAAAAAATCAAAGTTTCTGTAATTAAAGAAGTGCAGAAATGAGCAGTCAAGGGTTCATTCATTCAGCTTATACTACCTGCGTTTCCTCTATCACTAAATCTGCAGGGCCCAATGGGTCCAGTTGGCAAACCAGAGAGAGAAGATCTCGGAGGTCTGTATCCCATCAACTGGCAAAGCATGTGGTGTCTGGCTACACTACTGCCAGCCATAGGAGGATCCTGGTAAAGAAGACTCGGAAATGCCAAGCTCACTGCCACCTCCCTGATTTCACTCATAGCAACCCTGTAGGACGGAGCAGAACTGTCACTTGGGTTTCCGCTGTGTTTAAAATCCTTATAGGAGTAGGCAGCCTCATCTTTCTCCCAAGAAGGGGCTAAATTGCAGACCTTGAGGTCGGCAGCCCAGCATGTCGCCCACTATGCTACCAAGGCTCCTGGTTAACAGTCTTGAGTTACTGAGGGATGAGGGATTTTGAGGAAGCCAGCACTGCCACTATGTGACAGTGGAAAATTTGTAACAAACCCAAAAAACAAAGGAGAGATTTTGAAAGGGAGCCAAAGGCAGATAAAAAACAAAAAACATAGATCCAGGAATACATTTGGGGATCACACTAAATCCTACATCTAACTTAAGAACAATTCATTCTTACATCATGGCCGTGCATAAATCTGATGTGAAGAGTTAAAACTTTCGGTTGACACCCTCCTCTGATGTATGCTGGACCTGATCTGGTTTTCAACATTTTCGGTATTTTTGGGTTTATTCTAATTTTGTTTGTTCATATTAAGGTGTATCTCAGAGGTGTTAATGTCATTGGAGGTCACCCCCCCAAGGTTGCATTAAATGTTTTCCTGTGCTTTGGTATGTGAAACCCAGGCTTGAGGAACCTATAGGGACCGCAAATAGGGTAAGGGTTTCATGGGCAAGGGGGCGGGGCGGTGGTGAGGTGGTGAGGGAGTAAAAAGACGATGTCAAGGAGTCCAGGAAGAAAAAGACTGTTCGGAAACTAATTGTGGCAGCGATTGTACAAGTTTGCTTGGCATGATTGGACTATGGAATGATATGATACATGTATAACTCCCAACTAATCATACTGTTTTTTTAAAGGAGAGGGCCCACTCTTAAGAGACCCTGACCCTAAAAAATAAGGGAGGGCTAGATTCAGAGCAGATGTCAGAATACAAGGACTACCCAGAGTAGGGTGAACAGGATAGAACACACTGAAAGAACTTCAGAGCAAAGACACAACTATTAAAACGTTTGTTTTCATTGGAAGTGTTCATAGCTAAGACAGGAGACAATAGGAAAGAATTCAGGTCTTAGGTAACCTGGCAGGGATTCAGACAAATCTCCCTATGGAGCAGTGCCACTGCTCGAGAAGGGAGGTAGGGATGAGAGAATGGGAAGGGATCCAGGCAAATGAGTGATCAAGAGAAAAGGTATAAGGTAAAATTTTAAAAATTTTTAACAATTTCAAAACCCATTTTCCTTATCAATACCTTTTACTTGAAGTGTTCCCAACAGATAGAACCACATGCCCAAAGCTGTTTAAGAAAAGATGTAAGAAAGGAGGCATGAGCTGACATTTCCCACCCTATCATGCCATGATTCTATTGCGGTCCCAGGCATATTCTAGCATCTTCCTTGAGAAAAGGCTACCTATAGATACAGTATCTTGGTGATCGGCTAATCAATTTTAAAACTGAGCTACATTTACCACCGGGAACTGTAGCTTACCCCAGAAAGATTGCCCAGCACCAGTTTCACCAACTGCTTCACGTAGGAGAATGAAGGTGCACAATTGCTATTCCTAATGTGGGCACTGCAAGCATCCAGGACCGTCCGAACGGAAACTCGAGCGTAAATGACATCCTCACACATTCCAAGCAAAATGCTGTTGAGATGATCTCCCAGCTTGATAGGCTGAATATAAAGAAAGCAAATGTCGTGTTCCTCAATGTGAATAAATCACCCTATCTAACACAAGACAGGCCCGATCCACCACACCATGCACCCTTCAAATATTTGGAGGAATGAACTCTTCCTCTAGTGCTAGTAGCATATATATTTGACTGCATTTCACCTTTTCGTGCTCCAAAACAATGACTAGAAGTGGTAATGGCACAAATTTCCCAAATAAGTGCTAGAGGAAAAATGCTGTTTGTCTTTCCCTTTTGGTAAAACAAAAAATATATATATTTGCCACACTGCGTTGTAATTTGCTATTTAGTTGCTGCATCCTCCGATGACACTCTACACTCATGGGCCAGAAGGCTCCTACTGATGAGTGCAATGAATATGACTACTTACAAGATTGTAATTTCTGAACTAAAAAAAATGATTATATATATTTCTCATTCAATTTAAATATTATTTATACTTTCTTTGGCATTATCAGAAGAAAATATAAAGTGCTAATTATAGGCCATGGTCTTGAATGTATATGTTAGGCTGTATAATATATTTGACACTCATCTTTCCAAAATTAGCTTCTGCCTTTAGTGAATTGAAACAGAAGAAAGAAAATGAAATATTTGGTATTTATTTATGATGTAAAGTGAGAGTAAACCAAGTCAGCTTTCATGAATCTCTAGATGTTTGAACTTTAGAATAAACATCTCAAACGCTTGTTGCTTCTTACATTTAATTTTTAACAACCCACCTAAATACACACCTAGTTATTTTAGTTTTTTACTCTAAATGTCAAATAAAACAATTCTATATGCCATGTATTTGTTTTAATATTTTCTATTTCAATTATAATTTTCTACTGTTTACAATCTTATTTTAGAAGAAAAAATGCAACAACTTTTCAATATGGAAAAAGACCAATGATAACCAGAGCCTAAGCCTTCAAAACATGCTAATTTCATATCTGTACCTACTGCTGCAGGGGCAGTGAAGTATGATTTTTGAAATGAAAAAAGATAAAAAGTAATTATGTCCTTTTATACAGCAGCATACATACTATTTCTAATGTGTTGTACCAATAAAAACATCTCATTCTGTACAAGAATGAATTATCAAACATATTTATAATCCCGCTTATCAATCGATAAATTAGAAGAACTCTCATTTTCCTTGCTATAGCTTTTAAAGGGGCAACTAAGTAATCTCACAGTGAAATGATGAAACATGGGCAGTTTTTGCTACAATTGTAAGTTTATGTCAAAAATAAATGGCCCTGTTAGTTCACTGTGAAAGTAGGACATCACTAATGTGAGCAACCATTAGGGGGCGGTGTGCCTGACAACATGCTGTAAAACATATTTGTAAACAGTATAGCGTTATACAAATGTACAAATTTTAACAAATCTTGAAAGATCGACTTACTTGGCTCTGAGGTACTTCATGATCAGCCCCCCAGTACAATGTCATTCCAAGGGAATATACATGGATCTAGGAATAGAATTGTTTTAAAGGATATTCTTTTATGGTAAAATTTTTTAAATTGGCAAGCATAATATATTCACAATTTTATGTGTCAAAGAAAGGATAACACGTAATTTAAGAAAAGCATGTGAGAATTTAAAAAACAAAATAAGAACAATAAAATTATTGGATGAGACTTTTTCCTCCCATTTTTGCCCTCCCCGTATCTATCTAGACCCCAAGCACATCCTCTGTGGGTAATCACAGTTGCTAGTTTTATTATTTATCCTAAAGATTCCTTGTGCAAATTAAAACAAATGTGAATTTCTATTTGTAGTTACAAAATGCAGGATATTACTTGCCACCTTGAAACTTTAACATAACAATGGGGATTATTTTCACAGTAGTTCTTGGTGATCATCTCTTCCTTTTTCACTGCTGCATAAAATGTCACTGTGAGGATGTAGCATGGTTTGACCAGTCTGTCAGCAGCTCAGCAATTTGAAACCACTAGCTGTTCCAGGTCTCAGAAACTCACAGGGGCAGGTCTACCCTGTTAGTGAGTCTGAACTGACTCTATGGCATTGAGTTTGGTTACTAATAGACAGGATAAGGCAGCCTTTCTTTCTTTCTTTTCTTTTTAAAACAACCTTTCTTATACAACACTGTTATATTTAATTTCTATTGCTAATGTAGCAGGTAAGTACTACAATCTTAGAACATAATTACTAAATGTGTCCTTGTCTGTACTCCCCACTAGAGTGTAGGTGCTGTGAGGGAAAGAATCTAGTTGCATAACAAAGAAAGTTGGCCTGTTTGTTTGTACTAACAGCCACCATTGTTGATTGGAGGCTCAATTCCAACTCACAATGACCCCATAGGGTGGGGTAGAACAGTCCAATAGGGTCTCGAAGGCTGTAAATCTTTACAGAATGAACTTTTGTTTTGTTTTTTGGTTAGCAGCCAAGTGCTTCACCACTGTGTCACCAGAGACCCACCTATTTGTATAATTCATACTTAATACATGCCTGCTGCATTCAGTTAAATGTGCATGAAGTTCAAAATTGCAGTTTTGAATCACATTTCTGTTTAGAATCCTTCTTAGAGAGCCTAATATAGAATGATTTTTTCATATACGAAAATCATTTATAAGGACAAATATTGTATGAGACCACTACTATAAGGATAAACACCAGGACAAAGGTAAGCATCTCTTCTCAGGTCATGTAATCTTTTTTTTTTTTTTT